TAAATATAACGCGCACACATATGTGTGTGTGTGTTTATTGAAACTTCAGGTATACTTAAGGTAAGAAATGATTTACTCAAAAAAACAAAAATAAATAAATAAATGCTATTTCTGTTTCATTGTTATTGACCAATCTGAGTTTAGTTTTGATATACAGTCACAAGTATAAGAGACCCAACCAGGCTTGTACTCACTGCTAATGGTTTGCAAAAACAGCTTTCTAACTTTTACACCACAATGAGATGCCCTTTTGAGAAAAAACACCGGCTCACTTAACTCATAAAAAACTGATCTGTCTACTCAAATTACCGGAACTTGTGTGCATAAACAATTACACATATTATTACTCTGCGTAGGAAGATATATATATATATATATATATATATATGTGTGTGTGTGTGTGTGTGTGTGAGAGATAGATAGATACATATGCGTGTGTGCTGGGGGTTTTAAGGAAATACAAAGAAAATAAAATATTATGGACGTCACTGGATACCGGTTCCATGACCAGCGACACGATAGACAAAATGCGACCCCAATTTTAGCGCTGTTTTTCTGTAACGTCTGCAGTTTTCTCAAGTCCCTCGGGGTGGTGGGGGAGAGAGAGATAATAAATACATACAGTTTACACTTGTACTTTCATAAAAAATTCACCCCACCATGCTTCACCAACAAATAGACTATCCGTGAAAAATAATGGGAAAATTGAGCTTCGTTTTTATCGTTTGTTTCTCCTTTGCTTTCCCCTCTAACCCACGATCTCTCGGAAAACGTAGCCTCGTTTTGGTTATTGTAATGAACAAAAAAAAAAAAAAAAAGAAACAATAAAGCCATGGCACTTATATTTTTATTGCTTATTACATGCTTATTTATAGAAGCAATTCACATATATTTGTATGTTTGGTAAAATAAAAAATATATATATTTCGGTCTAAGAAATCGAGCAGCAATAGAATCTGGACTTGAAAGATGTAAGAAAAAAGTCTTTAGGACGGTTCTGAGAGCAGTGTCAAAGATTAATAGTGCTTTTGAGGCTGGTGGAGATTGATGCAGGCAAACAGTATTTCTCAACCTTTTTTATTTTTTTAGTTTCTGGGCAAACTTGTAGAATAACTAAAACTCTGGGGTACGCAAACTTTAAAGAGAAACTAGTCATAATATTTGAAAATAGGGCAAAAATAAAAAAAAATGTCTTCTGAAATAAGCATTTATTTTTAATCGGTACAGTTTTCATTCAAAGGAAATTATGAAGAATCTGATTTTTTTTTTTAGAGAGATCGATAATGACTGATTCAAATCCTTTGGCAAGGCAAAAAGGAAAGGATTATTCAACGATTTCTCAAAAGATTTAGGCGAGATTTACTTGCATGATTCTTCTTCAGCGTGTTATCTACATTTAAGAAGATGCGCAATTCTACTGAAGTGCGTGAGCTACACTTAAAAAAAACAAAAAATAACGAAAACTAAATAAATAAATTCAGACTAATATTTTATTATATTTTATATTTTATTCATTGAAAAATTATGCGATCGAATGCCCAAAATTATTTGTTTTCATTTCTTAATGATATTTAAACTGTGAATCGACAGGGATTATACATATTTCATTTCTTTTTTTAAATATTAATGTAGTGCATTTTCTTAGATCACATTCGGCATATTGATAACACGCTTTAGTAGATCTGTGTTGTTGTACATTTCATTCGGCATTTCGATCACATTTTAAATATAAATAATAATTCATGAATTACTCTTCTCTTAATTTTTGGTACACATGACTACATTTCAGGGTACACTAGTGCGCCCATTTGCACTAGTTGAGAACCACTGCACTAAATGAATAAGTGTTCTTTGTTAAATGGCCAAGATTAACAGACAAAAAAAAAAAAATTAAAAACAGAAAGTTTTGTGTGTGTAATACTGTCATATAGGAAGAAAATGTGTAATTACCGACGCCGAGGTTCGAACGTGACACTCTGGACTTATATGTTTTCCACCAGGTGTATAAATAGTGGTGTCAGGCTACTGACTGGGGTGATTATTCAGTGACTATGGAGTGGAACTATCCAGTCGAATTAGTGTGAATTATTGTGCGTCGATGATTGAGCTTTGATTTAGAATTTACCGGACGTTAAGCCGAGCCGCGCTACTAACAAAATATTTACTGGAATGGTTAATTATCTTTGATTAACTTTTACTTCTTTGGTCTTGTTAAGTATTTATTTGCGGTTGTAATTAAATACTGTTTTATCTTAACATTGAACTCTTGAGTTATACTTAATTATTAACGGCCACCGTACGTAACAAAAATACTTTTCACAAAGCGCACTCAGTTACTCGTACTTATCCCCCTAACCAATTTCAAAACAGTTTAATGTCTGGCTTCATGTGAGTACGTGTGATCAAGGGTAAAACCTGTTTTACACCTCCTTTCTATATCTGTGTAATTACTGAATTCGTTTTCTACCTATATGCAGGTGGTTTGCTTCAAATATATGTTGTGGATTATTCTAATATTCTTCCCAAATATGTCAAGTTTATCTAGCAGTTCCAACAGCGAAAAGTGAATGGCTATGAAGATGCTGACAGTGATTTCTTATGGACAACGCCATTTTGTTTTAAATCGGATACTCTGTAGTACAGAATAAGCTGAACGAGAATCTCCACAGACATAGTAAAAATACGTCATAAAACAAGTCGTATTGCATGCTTCTTTATGTCGACGTTGGTTTGGAAATAGCACGAAGTGTTATGTAGTTTATAACACAAATGCTAGAGATCGACATTTTTCAGTTTTATGAAAACGTATATGTACATCGACAGCAGGCAAGGTATGTTTCGTAAAAACGTATAAATACTGAAATGTTAAAAAAAAGTTTCAAATATATGAACGTTTGGTGCATTTTCCGACTTCCATTGTGCTCACATTGATATACAGAGGGGTGCTGAAAAGTTCTTGGTCAAGACCACTGTCCCCAAAACCCCTAATCACCAAATAATCACATCTTTGTCTTACACTTCCTTTCTATTTCTGTGTATTTATTGAATTTGTTTTCTACCCATATGCAGGTGGAAAATTACGTTAGAAATGACCCCCCCCAAAAAAAAAAACTCCAAAAAACTATTAAACGGTTATGTAATATCGGTCCTTCTATATGGTAGAAAATACTGTCTCACTTAAGCACCTAAGCAATTGTGACTTCCCCAGACTTTTCTTTATTGACATGTAACCTAGATAGTGGTTTCCCGTTACCATCTCTGTCCAAGGTTCGAGGGCCCAGTCTACCCGGCTATTTAATCCATAATTTGCGAAAGAAGAGACGAATTCATGTATTACAGAATGCGGAATCTGGGCGAGCCATTCGTCAGTCTACTTCGCGGACGTGTTATTCTGACAGTGATGGATTGGCTTTGTTTAAGTTTTGAATATAAAAGGCCAGAATGTCGTCAGAGGGCCGCAGGAATCTTGAAGCGCCGATACGTTTTCCACACCCAGATTCAATTGACGTGCTAAGGCCGCACGTGGCGTGATACTACGCCAACGTGTGTGCATGTTTTCTTTTGAAGTTTTTCCTTTCTTGCAGCTGCCTCCGAGAATCGAAACCATTTTTTGAGACTATGAAGTCTCGTTGTAGTCCGAAGAGTTGAAGCCAGTGGCGATAGGGAACGCATCACAGGCCTTTCCCATTGGCATTTGTGCGGAAGAGAACGCAACATATTAACCCGGAATTTGAACTCCGTTCGTCGATTCAACTTTCTGCGCCGATACCCGCTACACCACTCGTACATTAGATTTTAAACCATTTCTTTTTCGAGCCGAGAATTTTTCATCATCTGTGCGTACACACACGCCTTTGGGTAACAACTCTCTCTCTCTCTATATATATATATATAGAGAGAGAGAGAGAGAGAGGGATAGAGATAGAGAGTAGATAAATGTAAGGGAGAAAGAGACTGGCTCGACATTTGCTCGTCTTTGTTTTTACAGATGTCCACTCAAAGAGAACAGCTGCTGAAATAATGAATGCCAATTCGAAATTTGGCCTCTTTTATAAATTATGGAACGATTTAATTAACCTCCAAACCAAGAGGTCATTACAAAAACGGTTAAGTCTCCTCCTCTCCATATCAAGAAAAAAAAAATCAACGATCAGACGACAGCCATTGTTACAAACTGCATTATTTACTGATTGAAATTTACTGACCAATTCACTTCAGTTTTTAGTTCCTATTCTGTCAAAATAAAACTTTTAAAAGTCGGTTCTTTCGATATTTACATCTGACTTGTGATGGTGATTTGTATTAGTGCAATTTAATATATATATATATATATATATATATATATATATATATATATATATATATATATATATATATATTCTATTAGATTATGGTCCGGTGTTGAAGCAACAGAAATGTGCTTCTACTGAAGGATGCTGAGGATACCATGAACCAAGCATACGAGCAACGACGAGATTTTAGAGAAAATGGAAACAAAAAGGAAATTTCTACAGGAAGAGACCGTTGAAATTTCTGAGACACAATGAGGAAAGATGGCTTGGAAAATCTATTACTCATCGGACATATTGAGGACAAGAGGAACAGGAAAAAACAGCGTATAACATATTTGATCTCGCGAATCCCTTGACCCATCAGGGCCGTAGGGATACCACATGTACTGCAGCCGCAGTAGAAATGGTGTATCTTGGCCATGATAGCCCTCCAGGCTTAGCATATTTGATAAACTTAAGTGGATGACGGAACAGGGTTTAAGTGAAATAACGAAAAGGCAAAATTTATTAAGAGCTACAAAAGATATGAAATCGAGGAGAGCCATGATCACACGCCATAACCTTGAAACTTTACGTTGTATGATAAATGAAAACCTGATATTTTTACGCGTTTTGGTAACAAAATGGTTAATCAGACCTGACTTTAAAACCATACAAAACTGTAGGATACCAAACTACCTATCTGGGTACGTGTACCGATGTGCACGGATGCCCGCCGTAGTAATAGTTTTTACAAGTTAGATATTATTTTTGTATGCAGTTTATTGGAAACTATCCTGTAACTTCTGTCTTCTTGACTTGGTCCAGATGGTCCTTTGTATCAGGAATAAATTCACCTTTTCCCATTTGACACAGTAGAAATTCTACTGATTTATTTGCCTCAGTTATCTGTTTGATCCCACATTCTTGCCAAGTGTCTGTCTAGATGGCAAACCGCAGTCGGTCTCAAAATATCGACATTTACTCGAACTGACCTTTCCAATTAGAAAACGGGAGTTGATGAGGAAGTGAAATGCTTTGATTTTCCCTAAGAGAATTCTTTACTTCTTTTGATCCATTAGTCCTCCATCTTTGTTTTTTTAAAGATCCATACTTTTTCCCCCTACCCATTTTTTCTGTCTTTCTGCCCCCTTTCCTAAATTGCTTCCAATATTTTTTTTTAATTTCTTTCCTTTTCGCTTTCTACTTTTTTTTTTTTTTTTTTTTTTTACTTTTCTTTCTCTACTTTATTTATTTTCTACCATTCGGCTTTTAATTTTCTTCCTTTTTCTCCCGCTTTATTTTCATTCATTCGCTTTTTCTTTCTCGCTTCTCCCGCTGTTTAGTTTTCATTTTCTTTCTTTTTATTCCTTCTTTTAACTTCCGCTTTTATTCTTCGTTCTTTTTGTTTTTCTTTCTTCCCTTTTTATCTTTCTTTCTTCATTTCTCTTTTTCTTCGTCTTTCTTCATTTCTTTTCTTTCTTTCGTCATTTCTTTCTTTTCTTCATTTCTTTTTCTTTCTTTCGTCATTTCTCTTTCTTTTCTTCATTTCTTTTTCTTTCTTTCTTTCTTCATTTCTCTTTCTTTCTTTCTTCATTTCTTTTTCTTCGTCTTTCTTCATTTCTCTTTCTTCGTCTTTCTTCATTTCTCTTTCTTCGTCTTTCTTCATTTCTCTTTCTTCGTCTTTCTTCATTTCTTTTTCTTCTTTCTTTCTTCATTTCTCTTTCTTCGTCTTTCTTCTTCTTCGTCTTCATTTCTTTTTCTTCTTTCTTTCTTCTTCTTCGTATTTCTTCATTTCTTTTTCTTCTTTCTTTCTTCTTCGTCTTTCTTCATTTCTTTGTCTTTCTTCATTTCTTTTTCTTCGTCTTTCTTCATTTCTTTGTCTTTCTTCATTTCTTTTTCTTCGTCTTTCTTCTTCTTCGTCTTTCTTCATTTCTTTTTCTTCTTTCTTCATATTTTTTTCTTTCGTCATTTCTCTTTTTCTTTCTTTCTTCATTTCTCTTTTTCTTTCTTTCTTCATTTCTCTTTTTCTTCTTTCTTTCCTGTTACCACTCTCTCTGCTCTTTTACTCTCTCTTCTTTCTTTCTAACCAATATCAAACAACGTTTCCATGTAGCAAGATCGCCTCAACCCCTCGATTTTCTTCAGCTCAATTTCCGTAGGGTCGGAAAAGTAGGAGACAAAATAGGAACGTAAAATTAAATCATGGACAGATCTTTGACGCTTATTGATGCCTGTTCGTTACGGGGCCCTTGGTCGAAAAGCAATTTCCCATTTCCAGACCATTTATTTTTGTCTCAGCTCTTACCGCAGGACGGATGTCAACAAATTAATTATACGGTTCGCGAGTTCAAACCACATTTACAACTCTAACAAAACAAAACAACAACAAAAAAAGGGGCTACATTTTTTTTCTTTTCTTTTTTGTTTTAAACCAAGTGTTAGACCGTGCAAGAATCTGATCATCGCCTTTGCATTTTCTTCCCATTTTGTGACAGATGTTTTCCGACTATTGGATAGACTACTCCATCCAGGCTTTGTTCCCAACGCACGAACGTTTGTTTTTGGATGAACCGCCGCGGCTGTCCCGACTTCTTCATTGTCGTCTGACAACTTATCCCCTAAGACTCACCTTGGTGATCCTGATCACGAGAAGTGAATTTTTGGAACCAATGATGCACAGTCCGATCTTAAGCTTGCTCCAATCCCTAAGCAATATTGATAATCCGAGCGACTACGGCAGAGCTAAGACAGAATTTGGATACACAGAGCACAGTGTTACGAAAATCTCATTAATCATTGTTTCGATACTCTAAAAATGCATTCAGAATTCAAGCAACACACAAAAGAGGATTAGATGTAGATTATGTTACCGGCACACCAACCCAACGGATCATTTCGCGCCGAATCGAGTAGTTTTAAGATTTGTTTTTATTTTGTGTTTATTTTGCAGACAAATTCCTTTATAAGTCGTTATTATAAAAGAGTGGAGATGTAATTCGGTTTTAGTTGCATTTTGTAGCGGATATTTATTCGGTTTCTTTTTTATATTTTGGGGTAGAGCTTTGTTACTTTGAAGAATTGTAGAATGGCTTTGAGTGCGAGAATCATAAAGGGGGGGGGCTAACGTTGGGTACATTCTAGAAGTATTTTCGTATAGCTGCCACTTTTTTTGCAGTTAATTAAAAATGTTTGACAGTGTGTACTTCTTGAAAATTTGGGCATTTTGGATGGTCTTCATTATTTTAGGAGGAAGGAATGGGTTATATGGGTGTGTCCGACTTTGATTTTTGTTAATCTTGAGTGTCTAGTACTGAGTCAATATGCGTTTTATATGATATAGTTTATTGTTTGTGTGTGTATTCCATGATTTTTGCCATTGGTAGAAGTTGTAAGAGTTAATTGTAGCTTTCAAGTCTGCACGCGAGAGAGGAGACGTAGAGTTATATATATATATATATATTGAACAATAAAAAATATTAAAAAAATTAAAATCTTCAGACACACTGGGTTGTAGATTAATATTCTTTCGTTTTTTTCATTATTATTTCATTTAGATTCCTCGACTAGTTTCGGCCAAAATGGCCATCATCGGGAGAAGAAATATTTCTGCTTGCTGGTAGCAGTAAACTACAGAAATGAATGTCTTGATGGAGAAAATGAACTTTTGCCTGTAGTTTTCATTTGTTTTTTTTAATTTTTTTTATCTTTTAACATTCCTTGTGCTGGTCAAACAGTCTCTTATTTTGTTATTTGAGATAAGAGCTGGATGGATCTATGCTTCTCTGAATAATATATATGTATGTGTGTGTGTATATATATATATATATATATATATATATATATATATATATATATATATAAGAAATATAGTTTTAAGGTATGCTATATTTATGGGATAAAGTGCTCAGCATCAGAGATAGAGCGAATGTAAATATAAAATGAACCGTGAAGTCAACACTCAGAGGTGACAGGCTGTTTCATGCTAGACGCAATCGTCAGGCCTGATGATTGCGTTTAGCATGAGACAATCTCGCCTCTGACTGTTGACTTCAATGTTATATATATATATATATATATATATATATATATATATATATGTAATGGGGAAATAAATGTTTGTACACCTAAAAAAATTCTATTTTAATACATTTCTCTTTCCCGTCCTACTTCAAGCATACACAAAACGTGGGGATTGACATTAATTAACAATTATTAAATAAACGGGTCTACTGAATAACCTTGAAAAAATATTTCGAAATGAGGTAGGGAAAAAAGTGATTGGTACAAACAAGTTTTCATGACTTTGGGAAGCTATTGTTGGCCATAACAGCCTATAACTTTTTGTAGCTTTCTATTCGCGCTTTGCAACTTCGTGCCGAAATTTTAGCCCGCTGTTCTTTACAAATAACCTTCAATTCATCGATGCTTCTCGGGCTCTCCAAATAGACTTGAATTTTCAAGTTTCGTCACAAATTCTCATTTGGGTTAAAATCTAGTGTTTGCGTAGATCATTGCATTACTCTCATATTGTTCGAAGTGAACCATTCCCGAATAAGTTTAGCACTGGTTTTAGGATCATTATCTTGTTAGAAGTACCACTGATCTCCAATCTTCAACTGCTGGGCAAAAGGTGAATAAATTTTTCTAAGATACTGCGATACCTCGGTTTTTATTGATAGTACCTTCTATCACGTAAATTACTCCAGTATTATTACAAGAAAACTATCCTCACACTATACTTCTACCGCCGGACTTTAAACTAGGGAATGTCTTCTTCGGATTAGAGACGCACCTCTTTTCCTTCCACACCTGACAAACTGAATTCGTTCCACAGAAGTTAATTTTGGTTTCATCTGACCAAAGCACAGTATCTCAAAACTCTTTTAGCTTAATCTAAATACACGCGGGCTGAACTTCAATCGAGCGTGTCTGTGTTTTTTTTTTCTTTAATAGAGTCATCATCTTTGGACGGTGATATCTAAGGTGTAGTTCCTTGTTGATATTTCGTTTAATGACTTAAGTCCCTACAGCCGTTAGTTCAGTTGGAATCTCCTAACGAGTAGTTATTTTGTTTTCTTTGATTTTTTTCATAATTTTTCTCGTAGTTCGGGGGTGGGGTGGTGTGTAGTTGTGGGTCAGTCTTACCAGAGCATCAATTCGAGTTAAATTTGGGAATGGTTTCCATTTCCTTCCATTTAAAAACAAAACGTCTATTTTATTAAATGGTGTATCTAACCTTTTCGAATTATCGTTGTCATTAAACTTTTCATCATCATCATCATCATCAGTCCCTCGACTGCTTCAAAGGTCGGGGAGCGAACCTGAGGGCAGAAGACACAGACTTTGATTCGTCTTGATTCTCATGATCCTTTCGGTAGGTTATCAGTTTGGCTCAACTCTCTTGACCGACAGCCACGGAATATGGCGTGGATCGCCCTCGATTTCCTTCTCCTAGACCGGTTGCCACTCAAAGCTATAGAATCCAATCTGTCCTGTTATTTTCCAAGGTTATTAGCACTTAAGTGAATGTAATGAATTCGACTGGAAATCGAACTCTGCTCACCGATTCCTCAATCTGAGCCGCTATCCATGACCCCACCGTGCTGCCATATCATTATTCAGCCTTATTATTCCACTAGCAGCATGGCCCGGCGTTGCCTGTGCTTGATTCAAAAATTGTACGACTAATACAGCAATCGCTATCACTTGACTTAAAATATTTTTGCCCTTCCTTGCCTTTAAAGGAGTGCCCTTTGCCGTGCTGATGTTGCTACATGCCTTACTTCTTGCCTGCCTCACAATGCGAAATTTGTCTAAGCTCTATACTAAACATTAAATCTGTTACGAAAAAAAGAACTAAAGAAAATGAACACAAAACGATCAGCTTTAAAAAAGGACTCGTAACTGGAAAAATCGAATGAAAAAAGAATGTTAACAACACTTTTTCACACCGAACCCAGTTCTGCGGAATCAGAATCAACGTTGAGTTTAAGCAAGCGAATGAGCCAATTGGAGTAAAGTGCCATGCAGATTTAAATTTTTCCCACTTGTGACGAATGCAGCTATCGATTTTTTTTTGCATGCTAGCATGCTAATTAACATTCGTGTCAGGTCAAGAAGTGAATAAGCTTCTGTGTTGACTCAGTGCTCGTTTTGAAAGAGGAACAAGACACTTTCCCTTATTTTTTAGGTAAAAACTTATAAAAAGCTGCAATATGCTTACAGTATTTACATTGGGACTATTGTTCCCATGTTTGTGTTTGTTATCACAATGTTGTGCTCTCCGGCATTCATCAGGTTTATATCGGTCCGGGTAATCAACAGGGAATTTTTACGGGACAATAGGCTAGTGGATTATGTCCCTGATCCCCCAAATGAGACTAGTCAGGTCGAGGAAATAAAAGCAACAGCACTTACCTTGAGTTGCGAAATATATTGCCACATTCCCACGACGTATAACCGTCTGATAACATGGAAGGTAATTTTAATAATAATAAAAAATTGATTTCCTCTCCTTTTATGCAACTTCGGGGATCACGTGTTAACCCTGTCACGTGACCACGATAACTATAAAGGGTTAGTACAGAAAATAACAAGCTTTTGTCTAGCAAGCATTTTAACAAAGTACCCTTGCTACTTTATCGCCTGACCAACGGTCAATTTTTCGAAAATTAAAGCATCGATTCATGACTTTGGTGATATAGTAATTGTGAGTTCAATCCCTGGACAGGGTAGTGTGTACTTGGATTCAAACGAAAGAGGACGAGTAATAACTGAGCAGTACTAAAAATAAGAACAGGGCGAGATATTCCGAGACATGGACAGTGGAACGAGAACAGTCTACACCCGTAGATTAAATAAAGGGTTCAATTCGAAATTCCCTGTAGGTTACCCGGATCGATATACACCTGAGAAACGATTGAAACGTTGATAAAAAAACATTAAAAGATGTAGACAATAGTCTGAAGGTAAATAAAATAATAACTCTTCATCCCAGAAATGTAATCAGAAGCTACAATATAATTTTATATTTTTGTTGTAAAAAAACGTATCCAGTTTCCTCATTTCATAAAAAATGACAACATG